ACAGGAAAGGTAATAAAACAACCAATAATAAAGTGGGACTAACACATCTTTCTCAATACAATAAGTCAAAAAGAGTTTGGCAATACAGTGGCACTAACTAAGAGGAAAAAAATATTTTAAAAATCCACCCTTGGCCCAAAAAGTCAAATAATGACTCACAGGGCTCTTTCTTGAGTAAGTAAAATAAAAAACAACACTGTTTTGGTTTGTTTTGTTTGATTTGGTCACAACATTTTACTTTTATGCACAAATAACTATGGAGGACCAAAAATGACTAAAGTATAAATAAATAAATAAATAAATAAATACAGGAGTATATTAATAAATACATTCATTTTGGACAATAAAAACTAAATATTTACATTGATATGCTAAATATTACTCTGAAATCAAATAAATATACTTTTATTTAGGTTATTTATCAAAATCTACATTTTTTCCTTTATTTATTTATCCATTTATTGCATATATTTATTTATGTATTTCTACATTTCTTCATTTATTTATTTATGTATTTCTGTGTCGCTGCATTTCTTCATTTATTTATTTATGTATTTCTACATTTCTTCATTTATTTATTTATGTATTTCTGTGTCGCTACATTTCTTCATTTATGTATTTTTGTGTTCCTGTATGCTAATTAGGTGGGCGGTGCTGAACTCAATCTAGAACAGGATTGGTTAGGATTGCGTGAACTCTGGTCTCGATCATTACTGCCTCACATTACGGTACTCTGTTAGCTAGCTAGAGATCCTCTGTGCACTTTTGTGTGGTATGATGGCAGTTTCGAATGTAAGTTTTTTAGGAGCCATTGCTCATCAATTAAGAGCATTAGCAAATGATGTTAATGATGTTGAGCATAATGCACCTGAGGACTATCTACTCTTTCGGCTGGGAAGACTATAGATGTTTTAGTTCATCACAGTGCTGACCCAGAGGTAGACTTTGATGCAACTGTGCTGGACGCTCTTCAACAAGCAGCAGCTTCACATCCTCTCAAAAACCGAGAAGGCTAAAGCCTAGCGTACATCGGACTGGCAACTGATTATATCCGTCGCATATGAGTTGCTGCCCCGCACACATCGACAATCTGACGAAAACGGGCAACTCCCAGTAGCAGACCAGTCTCTGGAATAACAGCGCGTACATCGACAGCAACTGGCCTCAACTACAGTGTGTTTTCTGACATAAACTGTTGCGGGCTCGCAATACACGCAATACACACACGTTGTCGGAGCGGCGCATGGAGCGCGCACATCGGGTCATATCTCCGAAACTGAGGACAACTAGTTGCCGAAAAGTAGAACACGGACAACTGACTGAAACTGGAGACCGACTGTTCATCTCCAGTTGTAAGAGCGCGCACATCGACCGATTTCAACTGATCATCTCCATCATCTCCTCTCAGTTGCCAAAAGCCGCCTTGCAACTTGTCTCCAGTTTCTCTGTCGATGTACGCTAGGCTTAACTTTGCTTCTCTCTGGTTGCCCTGGCTGACCTACTGCCCACCAATCCTGTTCTAGATTGAGTTCAGCACCGCCCGCCTAATTAGCATACGGCAACACAGAAATACATAAATAAATAAATGAAGAAATGTAGAAATACATAAATAAATAAATGAAGAAATGTAGAAATACATAAATAAATAAATGAAGAAATGTAGAAATACATAAATAAATAAATGAAGAAATGTAGAAATACATAAATAAATAAATGAAGAAATGTAGCGACACAGAAATACATAAATAAATAAATGAAGAAATGTAGAAATACATAAATAAATAAATGAAGAAATGTAGAAATACATAAATAAATATATGCAATAAATGGATAAATAAATAAAGGAAAAAATGTAGATTTTGATAAATAACCTAAATAAAAGTATATTTATTTGATTTCATAGTAATATTTAACACATCAATGTAAATATTTAGTTTTTATTGTCCAAAAAGAATGTATTTATTAATATATTCCTGTATTTATTTATTTATTTATTTATTTATACTTTAGTCATTTTTGGTCCTCCATAAATAACAAGCATTTTCAATGCAAGCAAAAATGCTGCATTCAGCATTGAGCTTTAATTCAGTGAGTTTTGGCTGCGCTTCGTGTGGAGATTTGGGGGAGATCTGGGAGAGGCATGGGGGAGAGACGGGGGAGACAGGCAAGACCCGCACGTGCAACAACTTGGGGATGGGGATGATCGCGTGTATGATTCTGTACGCACGTCTATGGTCCACGCTCGGTACATGACCACGCGCGCTTGCTGAGCTGTCAAAGCGGCCACAGTTTCCCCTGGAGTCAGAACGGAGGATGTTATTGCACCACACCCCCCTAGGGAGAAGCGCCCCACTATTTGAGAAGGACTGGTCCATGTGAAGTACGCAAAAGCGCCAACTCAAGTGATAGTACGCATTTCTGATATTTGTCGCGCATGCGTACCCTGCGTACCACTTACGTGCACCCCTGACTATAAGAAGATACTGGTTTGACTCTGAGGAAAGTACTTAATAATGACTACCAACAATTACAGTTTAAGTCGACAGACAAAGAACAAGAGGAAAACTCACATTTTAAGCTGAAATGCAATTACTGTATATAGCATGTTTTCTGTCATATGAATGAGAGGCATTTTAGTCACACCATAGGTTGTAAGATAAAAAGCGGTTTTACTTTTGCATTCAGCGAGACAACTACAAGCACACAGCTACAAGCACACACACAGCTACAAGCACACACACAAATACAAGCATACAAGCAAACACACACGCACACACAATTATAAACGCAGAGAGGCTGTATTTAAAAGATGCTCTTGTTTAACGTCTTCATTCTGTCAGTGTGGATACGGGTCAGAGCCCAGGCTGCATGTGCACAAAGCTCTGCTCATACTGGAGGACCATGTAAAAGCAGAGGTGTGTGTGTAACAGGAGTCGCCTCCAGAGGGGGAGTGGAGCCTCGTGTCCTTCTAAAGACAAGCTACAAAAACCACTTCCAGGTCGTGCTGTCACAAAACTGAATTTCAAGCTCTATTTTAATGCATTTACGTTAGAGCAGCTAAACGATTAAAATATGAAACTTGATTAATCACATTTGATTCCATATCATTCCTTGTTCTAAATGTCCCTTAATTTTCTTTGAAAAGGGACTGGATGAAGCAAAACACTTATATTAATAGATCATAGGCTACTTCATTTCTGCATGCTTTTTTAAGGCTTTTTACAGTGTGTAGAACATACTAGAAATGTCTTAGAGCCACCTTGTGTAATTTTTACAGTTGCTCCATATGAAAAAACATGTTAACTAACAACAAATGTGACCTTTTTAATAATGTTTACCTCCACCTTGGTTTTTAATTGTTTTCATAGGCTTAGAATTTCACTTATAAGTGTTCATGAGAGAGGAGGACTCTCTGTGTCAATGCGCCATCTTGAAAAACAGTGGTGGATAAGCGACAAAAAGGACGCGAGAAACACGTTTTCGTTTCACATGAGCTACTGATATTGTTGTTTTCACCGTGGACCAGTTATATAAAAGAACCATGGAGGACCACAGTTATGTAAAAGAACCATGGAGGACCACAGTTATATAAAAGAACCATGGAGGACCACAGTTATATACAAGAACCATGGAGGACCACAGTTATGTAAAAGAACCATGGAGGACCACAGTTATATAAAAGAACCATGGAGGACCACAGTTATGTAAAAGAACCATGGAGGACCACAGTTATATACAAGAACCATGGAGGACCACAGTTATGTAAAAGAACCATGGAGGACCACAGTTATGTAAAAGAACCATGGAGGACCACAGTTATGTAAAAGAACCATGGAGGACCATAGTTATATAAAAGAACCATGGAGGACCACAGTTATGTAAAAGAACCATGGAGGACCACAGTTATGTAAAAGAACCATGGAGGACCACAGTTATATAAAAGAACCATGGAGGACCACAGTTATATAAAAGAACGACCTGAACAACAATTTTTTCGAAAAATAATTATGGTTAGGAAAGAGAGAGAGCCCAAAGCAGAGTAGGCTTTGGGCTTTAGCATTAGGCCTGCCTGCTGCATGTTTTTCAGCAGAGAGTTGATGCAAGGGGGTGCAGCGGGTATCAGCCAGGAGCCAGGCATGGACGACCTTCTGATATACAGTAGTTTAATAGATTAGGTTTAAATTATTTTATTTTTTTACAGTCTTCTTCTCATGCGCTGCGACTGCAATACGCCCAACAACGACATCATATTTCTCAGCCTTAAAACATATAGCCGCTATTTATTTTTAGAAATAGAACTCCCACGATAAACAATGGACTACTGTATTGGATTACGATGAATATCTGATTTCTGATACTTTTGACAATCATTTGAGACGCTATTCCACATCTCTGCAGCCAGTGTTATGTCTTTAGCACTTTTTCCTACACTTTTTTCAGCATTCATCAGCATTGAATGCTGATGAATGCTGATTTATCCATTTCAGTGGATTCAGATGACTGACAGCTCTACTACTGGTTGTGGGTCGAGGCTTCAGTCAATACTTCAATGAGGAGACGGCTCTCACAAAAATCTAATTTGCAAAGGAAAAGCAATTGCGTCTTAATTTCTCCTCTAAAATGTACAACCAGGCCAGTGGATATAAAAGAAGTGATGTTCAAAGCTGAAGGTTTAGAAGAAAGAGAGTGATGCCCTCAGCTCAGCATAAAAGTAGAGAGGTGTTGGGTCAAAGTATTTAGGAATGTGCCTTGCCTAAGTGTTTGTGTGTGTTGTCTTGTCTTAAAACATACTGTGTATTTTAATGTTCAGTTATCTTGGTTAATGTCTGTGGAAATGAAAACATTTGTGGTATTCATTGTACATGGTCCCTTTTTGAATAAATGAAATACATGGAAAAGTTCTGTGTTACAGTTTGTTCATTTGTATTGTGAAATTGAAGTGAAGTTTTGAAATAAACATTTTTATTATTTGAATTGTATATTGTGTGTGTTATACTGACTTGTGCCTCTTGAGAGTCTGGCTCATGTGCTTCTTTATCTGCTTGAGCCCGTGGTAGTCCGTGTAGATCAGCTCAAATGGCAGCGGTCCGGTCATAGGGCAGCTTCCTCGACCCGGGGGTGCTCCCAAAAACCTGAAACACACAAAACCGTGATCCACCATTCAACCCTCAGTACAAGTCACGGTCTTGGACTCATGTCAGTCCATAGACCCAGGAGCTGGAGTAAGGACACAAATTTGTAGAAAAAACATACACACAGCTTTGCACATGGGTGAAACCTGATTTGGTTTGAATTTCACAATTTGAGATATACCACAGATGTCTTTAAATCTCAGGGAAAAGGCTACGGATGTGTGAAATGTTCTTTCAACGAGCATTTTTCAACCAAATGAGAGAGGTGATTTGAATGTGGCAAAAGCGTCACATTATAAATAATAACAAAGCCATCTCATAAAAGAAATTAAATAAAAAGTAGTGAAGTATTTGTTTGACAAATTTAAGAAAATGGTTAGAGATGTGGAAATATAGCTCCTTGAAGTAATCGAAGGACAAAAATAATAAACCATGGGAACTCAAGTTTTTTTGCTTCTCAGAATGGCATTGATCTGTTCAATAGATGCACGAGTTTTTAAGGGAGGAAAAAAATCTGGATATCTCGCCTAGCCCACTTTACATTGATTGGGCAAGTTGTTGACATGCCTGGTTAAGGTGAAAAAAAAAAAAACCAGTCCATTTGCAGTAACTGGATCAAACATCAGTCACGATAACTACATAAATCGCACACTGCGGAGACATGGCCATCAGATGCAATTAAGAACACGTGGAAATGTTAGTCACATATTAGAACTGTACATATTTGGGCGCATAAAGGCGTCTCAATCGCTTTGATTGTTGCAATAAATGCATAATTCCTCACAATATAAGTTCACTGTTTGTTTTTTTTGCAACATGAGGAAAAAGCCAAATTTAATCGAAACACTGTGAGTCTAATTGCAAAGCAAAAATGTAGTGATGATTGCGCAAACATGCAGTTGAGGACATATTGCTTACACCAGTGTCTCCCAAAGTGGGGTCCGCGGCCCCCTGGTGGGCCGCGAGGGTACTGCAGGGGGGCCGCGGGAGGTCATATGTTTTGTTTGTAATATTAAACTATTTGTGTTCATTATTTGACTTGAATAATCCACTGTAATCATTTTTGTATTACAATGTTTGTAGCAGAGGCTATTTCCCCAAAATAAAATAACCAGAAGAGCCTATTCTTAATGTTGTCTTCTTGGTTATTATTTTGGGGGGCCACGCAGACCCGTCAGATTTTTAAGGGGGCCTCGGTGTTACTGAGTTTGGGAATGGCTGGCTTACACAGTTATATTTCCAAACAGTTTCAACGTTGGTGTAAGAAGGTGAAGTTGTAAGATGCCTTTGAAAGCGAAGACCCTCCGGTAATTTGGAAGGAGGAAGTAAACTAGAACCAGAGAAGTCTGACCGGTTTGTGTGACCAAATGAGTCTGGTTTCAAGTTTCAAGTTTAATTCTTATGTACCTTTTGCAGAGCACTCCCTACTCTTGTGTTATATAAATGCATGATGTCATCACAAGGTCAGGGTTAGAGGTAATGACTATCTAAACGCTGTTACTGTGCAACACACCAGGCAAAGGAATAAGATCTCAACTAAATCATATAAGTACAGTGAAGTACCATGCAGTGTTTTAGACAGGTAAAAACAACATACTGATTAAGCAATCTTTTTTTTCTTTCTCATTGTATGTTTCATTTATACACTTTTGTCAATTTTGAATGATTGTTTAGTCCTGCCATAATTGATTTTAGCTTCTGGTTTGAGGTAACAATTGAAAGCAGCATTATAGTCCTGCATATTTCTCATAACAAGCTGTGTTGTTGCTACTATGGCTAAAAGTGAGCACTAAAACGCAGTGTGAAACCGCTTGACAAGATTGCAGTGGAAAGCCAGACTGCAGCTTTTTATATCAGCTTTTTTATTTGCTTATTTTTTCAAATGGATGACTCCCATGACCCGAGCCTCTCTCAAGGCTCTGAGGAACCATCTCCACAAACAAACAAAATAACAGCCAATCCATGTTTTTATTCTCTGGATGTACTTGAAAGCATCCAGAAAAGCTGCAGCATGTGTGTATAGAGGTTGTACAGATTCAAGGTAAACAGAGCGTGCAGCCGTCCCTCACTGTCTTTCACTATATTCACCTTTCGCGGACTATATTCATTAATTTGCGGATTTTTCCATGTAGAATTCCGTGACATCAGTGGGAATCGATGTCTGCTGTCTTTGTATCCACTTAACCTCACTTTGCCAGAAGCCCCCACTGAAAGATCAAGTCTATTCCATCACCCAGCCATCTGAGCAGCCATCCTCCTGTGAACTCACCACCTGTGAAACTTTTTCTGTTGTTAAATTAAATACTAAGCCTTCACAGTGAAAGATGTGGAACTGAAAGTTTATATCCAAACGCTCTTTACTGTACAGTGATATTTTTTTTTTCTGCATGTGACTTCAATGTTTCTTTTCTTGTTTTGTGTAGCACTTTATGCTTCTTTTGTGTGAGCTGTGCAATTCAAATAAACTTGCCAAGTAAAAGCTGTTTTAACCATGAACAATACGCAGAGACAAAATATGAGAACATTACTGAGCTGTTATTTCATTATTTCGCTGTAGAGCTCTAGCCCTACACATGCATTGTTTGCAGGAATATGGTGCTTAGTCACAATGCATGTCCTTTCATGATTCTCTGATACATCTTCCAGATCACCCCGTCATCTTTTGGATGATGGCGGTGAACTTACCACAGGCTTCAGTGCTCAATAGAAAACTTTACAGAAAATTAGCAATCGATTTTCTCAAATTGTAAATATTGTAAACAAAACATTCACCAGCTATGTATGTGGGAGCGCATACATAGCCTGGATCAGTGGCAGTGGACAGCTTAAAACAAACTTTATACAAAACTCTTACTCTTAAAACCCACATATTACAACAAAGAACCATCAATATCTCGCCTCAAATTGCATTAAAAGTGACATTTGTGTCTTAATTCATTCGTATTTTAACTTTTAAAGCAATTTGCGGACTTCATGTCCGCCATCTTGATTTGCTTCGGCAGGTTTGCATTACATCATTAACAGCTGAGGGAGATCATCTCGACGGGCAGACCAACTCAACAGAACACTGGTATGACTTTTTTCGTTTCTAAAGTATTTTCTTGATTTAAAAAAACAATTGATTTTGAAACCTTTAGTAGTTCTCTTTTGATATAAAATGGTATTAAAACTTTATTTCTAAATTGATACCAACCCTGGATGCGGTCTTTAACAAAACCATTGAAATCACCTGGATCACCACAGTCCTTTTTGTTAGACACTAACTGTCCAACAGACCCTCCTGCATCAGCAAGGAAAAACTCAGAAAAACCCAGAAGGAAAAAAGTGAGAAACCTCGGGGAGACCCACATTGAGAGGGAGAGAGAAGGGTCCGCTCCACACGGACGGTCTTATAGATCCAGGACCTAAGCTACAGAACGTGGACCAGGGCCACGCAGCGGCTGCAGAATGTGGACAGGTCCGGTGCAGGAATCTGTAAATGGATGTTTGACTGGAAATATAAATTACAACATAGTTTACATACAGTATGTACTGTATTAGTTTATAATAACAGCAATACATCCACATGAAATTGCATTAACATTATTAACATTCTGTCTTTCTTTCTGTAGTAGACAGTATCTATTCAGCGTGACATATTCCGCTTCAGATTCAGATTCCTTTTATTAGCCATTTGCAGTAAAAACACCACATTGGAATAAATTACCAAAAGACTCCAGTGTGCACAGACAAATGCAGACATAAAACATTAAAAGTACAGAAAAAAACCCCAAATAAAACAGACAAACGTCACTGTGAAATCGATCGACTAAAACAGTATCAATACAAAGAGCAAGAACATTAAAGTGCTCTGTTCAAACAAATAATAGCTTGTGGGAAGAAGCTGTTAGCATGTCGAGATGTCCTGCATCTCAGAGAGCGATATCTTCTGCCAGAGGGAAGAAGCTGGAACATGGCTTTCCCAGGGTGGACAGAAGAGTCATTGATAATTCTCAGAGCTCTGTATAAAAGTCTGGATTGGTAAAGAACCTCCAGAACAGGAAGCTCACAGCCCACAGTCCTCTTTGCAGAGCGGAGCACCTTGTTTAAAGCTCTCTTTAAACAAGGTGCTTCAGCCAAAGCCTCCCCTTTCTTCTTTTTCTCTGTCTCATAAAGGCTGTGGATCCTATTCATTATTGTGCCTCTACAAACTATTATTCGTTACAGGGATGAGAATGGGACATTTCGAAAAAGTCTGAAATGCATAATGCCAATGGCTGTCATTAAATCAGTTTAATTTGCTCACAACATTTTACTTTTGGGCACAACCAACATGAACTGGTAGTGCAAAGGAAAAATGTTGAAAAATGTTGTAGCCCAGCTTTAACCCTTGTGTGGTGTTGGGGTCTGTGGGGCCCGTTTTAAATTTGTATTAAACGAAAAATGATACAATAAATAAATTTGAGTGAGACTCACTGGCTTTGGCTCATTTTCTGTGAAAAACATCTATCAGAATTCATATTTAATGACCACACACCATACACCCCCCCTACACATTTCAATTACATACAGTATAAGATGTTCGGGTCCACTGGACCCGGGCCAAATAGAAGTGTGGTAATTAACCTTTCCCCACCCACAGCAAACAACAGTAAGTGACTCGCGGTCAAGCGCGCCCCCACGAACGTTTTCCAACGCATTTACACAGTTCACACAAATGTTTTTTTTGTATTAAGCAGACAGACCAGCCCAAATATGGGCATCAGCCCTTTGGGCATGTGCCGGTCATTTGGCGCATGCGTCAAATGCGTTAATTTTTTAAACGCAATTAGTGAAAACATTTTTTTAACGTGTGTAAACGCGATAATTTTGACAGCCCTGCGAAATAAAAATAATAGACATTAGTTAAAATGACAATTGTATAAAGTGATGGTCGTAAAGCGCAGGGGTGAGTGATGAGTCAAACAGTGTTTAAGAAGTGTGT